TATGACTGTTTCATACATAATATTTTATGTGACAGTAAAATTTTTTGTCTAACTTACTTAACACAATATCATGGACTCAAGATCTATTTTTTTTTTTGGCAAATGACATCACTTAATTCTTCTTTATGGATGAATTCTATTCTATTATAGATACACATGCTTTTTTTCATTGCTGGAGATTATACAGAGATTCAGCACTCAGCAACAGCCTCTTACTTAGCATTCCTTACATAAATTGATATGAAAATAGTCTTTAGACAATACTCACATGTTTATATAATTATATATCCTTATCCTTTATCTTCTCTTATATGTGCTAAAATTTATTACACACATATAATCAATGTTCAAATAAAATTTCATTAGATGTTTTAACAATCTTGAGTTTAGAAAATAATATCTAAGGCTGGGTGTATAGCTCAGCAGTATAAGCACCTGCCTGACAAGTATAAGGTCCTGAGTTCAATCCCTGGTATCCACCCCCCCACACATCAAAAAAAGATAGAGAAAATAATATCTATTTTGACATATTAGATAATGTTATTTGTGGCAAATATCAACACTTTGAGCAATGAGAAAAGTAACCAAGACAAAATTTGGTACCAGAGGACAAGTCATTTCTATGACTATACCTGGCCACTTTGTTCAAGAGACTTTAGGAATAGCTTGTGCGAAGTTTGGAAGAAATGATGTCATTTGCCAACATTTCTCCATGTTGATACCATAATATATATCAACAAATTTCTCTATCTTTTTATTTCTATAAAACAAAGAAATCATATTTAATGTCTTTGCACTTTCCATGAAATCTGGTTTGATGATTCCTAAGGGCATCTGACTACTAGTTTACTGTACATTGAATAATGGTCTTGAAGTAGCTTTTACAAAAGCATCAGATGTCACCAGAAATAATAGAGATGAAACACCTTAGACTGTTCTGTATGGGAGATTCTGATCAGAGCTCAGAAGACCAGAAAACTGGTAAAGATCAGGCCCAAGAAATTTTGACTGGGAAGGAGTGCATTGGCTATTGGACTCCAGACAATGCATGTTATGGTTTGCCAGAAATATTGTCTGCATTTTTCTCATGTCCAGAGATTTTACCTGAGACTAAGGTTAAGGCAGTGTACTAATTATGGCAGAAGAAATTTCAAGGCAGCCAAATGTTGAGGCTGTGGTATGGCTACTGTTGGAGGCTTTTAGTCAGATTTATGTTGTGAGTCAAGAACAGACAGCCCAGCAGGATGATTTAAAATGTGAGTCTGGCCAGAAAGGAAGCTCCAGTAAACCTGTGGACTACAAGGATAGAGCTGAGATCTCAACTGCTGAGAAGGAACAGGAAAATATAAAAGATGGCCTGAGGGCATCACAAGAAGTAGAAAGTCTCCACCGTTTTCAGCCTCAAAACTGCAAAAGTGACAGACTTTGCTCTGAGGAGAAAACCACAGAGTACCATGTCCCACAATGGTGGTGGTATAGTGCATTTTCCTCAGAATTCAGAGTTTCCAGTGCTCCAGAGAGAGAAAAGCCCAGCTACTTCTCCTGTAGAGGACCACCTGGGTGACTCTCCTTGAAGGAAGAGCAACTGTCTCCATTTTAGCTGTGCCTGACCCTATTTCAGTGTAGTGATATGTACAGAGCTGGATAAGACTTCTCCTTAGCCCTTCAGTTGGCTTTAAGCAATGCAAATTGGTCTAACTGAGGTGCTGGTGGTAGTCTTTGAAGACAACAGGTGTATTTCCCTGGAACCTCCCACCTCCTGCTCCCTAGTGTGAACCAGGTCTAAACAAGATGAAGAGCCAATGCTCCACACTGTTGGCTAGGATTGGGCCTCAAGATAGAGGCTATGACTTCCTGGGGCTTGAACTATTATTACACAACAGAGCTGAAGCACTGACCCCAAAACATTAGATTGTCTCCGTTGTGTGAGATTACTCTTTATGCATATCCTTCTAAATATTGCAGAGGTAAACGAAGGCCTCCTACCTAGTCCAGCTCATGGCACTCACCTACTTCTTGCCACTCTCAGCCACTCACCCTCAAGCCACTCCTTTTTTCATGAATGAATAACACCCAGGTTCAGCTTTGGGTTGAGGCCTTTTTTGAGGATAGCCATCTTCATGACTTGACTTAGGATCCCTTGGCTCCCCGTAACAATTAATATACCTTAGTGTCTATTCTTGCCATGGTTTGCAGTGGGAGTGAAGTAACTCGACAGGATTCCAATGACTTGTCCATGGTATTACAAATATCAATTTGTCAGACTGAGATGAGGATCAAGCTGGTAGTAGATCTTGGCATCATCCAGGTGTTGTTGTTTTGGTGCATGAAGAACACAAGAGTTGTGGGGTTAAGGCTTCCTCCCAGATTTCAGGTTACCCTTGAGAGAGCAGTGTGTAAAGCTGTTGAGAATGAGTTAAAGTGGCAGTGGAGACTTCAGAAGTTTGGAAAAGTCAGGAATGTGCTCATCTAAGGAGAGCGGCAAGGAGGGAGCAAAGCCTGCCCAGGAGAGAATGTGTGGAAGCTATAGCCACCATAAGGGCTAAAGGGATGGAGTTACACAAGCCCTTTGGAGTTCACAATTTGCCACATACTGCTTCCATATACTGGACACAACAATAGTGCTTAATGTTTGTCCTGCTGGAGGTTGGACTTGCTTTGGTCCCATTTCTCTGTATCCCCCTATATGTAACTTCTCGAATGGAAATGTCTATTGTGCCTATTTGGAAATCTAACCTCCTTTTTATTTGTATAGGAGCTTGCAGCTAAGAGTTTGCCTTATATCTCAGAGGAGACTTGGAACTTGGGAAGGATTTTTTTTTTTCTGGTTCAGGCAAAAAAATTAATTGTTATGGGTGGTTTTGGGGATCCAACTGTGGTATCCTGTGCCAGACTGTATTTGCATAAGCAGGTGCTTAAACAACTGAGCTAACTGGCAGACACCCTGGCTAGGACTTCTCCTTAGCCCTTCAACTGGATTTAAGCAATGCAAATTGGTCTAACTGAGGTTTTGGTGGTAGTCTTTGAAGACAACAGGCTCCCTTATGGGGAGTCTGTTGTTTTAGGTGCATAATATTATCTTATAGCTCAACTTGAACTTTTCAGTAATGCTGAAGCTGTTAGGACTTTGTCAACTCTTGAGAGGGACTAAATGCCTTTTGCATCAAGGGATGTACATGGGTCTTTGGGGTGCCAGGGGGCTGAATGTTATGGTTCTGATGTATTATAATGTTAACAGACTTAATACTGGTTCTTAAGGATTGTTAAACCTGTGTTATAATGTTTAAGTTGTGAAATGATAGGAGTCGGCGTATGTTTGTATCTGGAGACCAGTTTAAGGAAATATATCTAATTGATAAGTTGACAAAAGGTGGATTTTAATGGTTGATACAGTGTGTCAACTTGAGTTTAAGCGACTCAGGAGGGGGACAGGGTCCTCAATTTGTAACATTCTCATTCTGTACAACCGAAGGGTTTGGAGATGATGAGTGCTATACTCACCCCCTACAGGAGCAACATAACCTGCTTACGACATAAGGAAAGAAAAGAGGCTTTTTCTCCCCATTTTATCTCTTGTTGCTTTTATTGTCTTCTGCCATCATGAACTGTTGCCCTTCTGCCATGCCACCCTGCCTTGGAGCCAGTTACATATGGCTCCACAAACTGAGCTAAATAAATGTTTCTTTCCTTAATTGTAGGTGTTGGGTATTTTTCTCAGCAACAAGAAAAAAGTATCCAAGTCACTGCTAGAAGCCACATTCCTAAAGCTTTCCCACATCACATTTCTTTAGAATTTGTTTTGAGATGGTGGCAAGGAGGCCCACTCCTCCACAAGGAAGTCACAGCCATGTCCCCCATCCAAAATCAGAAGACATTTATATCCAGAAGACAGTCACATGAAACATCTCATGATGGTGGAAATGAGGCTAAGCTCTCCAAACTTACTTCCTGTCTTGGTTATCAAACGCAACTCTCACAGGAATTTGATGGGAGATTAGAAGTCACTGGTCAAGCAACAGCAAGATGGGAACACTAGTGCTCTTATTGGTTCACATCAGTTTTCTACATAACTGACCATACCATAGTTTGTAGAGTGAGCTTACAGGATCAGCATTCAAGTAAAAAACTCAAGAAATCGAGAGAATGAATTGTGCTGACAGTTCATAAAAAATACCTCTTTTTTCAACTTATTACTTAGGAAATTGATTACTTTCTTCTCAGATTGCATTTACAGAGAATTTTCAAATTTCAACCTTATTTTTCATAGAAAAACCTTCACTGCACAATAAGAAAAATTGACAATTTAAGCTGTTAATAAAATATTAGTTTTTATTTGAGAGCATCTAAGAACACTTAAATTAGACCAAGAAAGATATATTATCTTACAGCTCAAGGACAAAAAATACTCACCTGTCACAGAAACAAAAAATTTCTGAGGTGGCATAAGGGAAATAGGGCATTGAATATGATCAAAATATAAGTGTAATGAACACCAATATTTCCTAAGTTAAGCATTAATACAAGAACAAAATTGTAGAAAAATTTTGTTATATCCAAATCTCATTTTTTATTTGGAAAAAAACTGTAACTGTTCAATATAAAAATGTTTTACAACATTCCATAACCAGTAAACATGGTGACACATTATTTAATATATAGAAAAAAAGATTCACAATTTATTAGAAAGATTTGTAGGCTCACATATAAACAAGGGCACACAAGTACATACATTGAAACATGCGTTTTATTCATAATATTCTTTGTATAATAAAATTACACCTTGATATGGGAAAGATAAATACTTTGAGAACTCACACTCAAATAGTATGTGAAGTGAAAAAAAAAATTGTTTCCTCAGGCAAAAATCATGAAATCAAAATTAGAGGAAGGAATTCAAATCTGTAAATAAAGGCAGATAAAAGAAACAAGAAAATTTAAGGGGTTGGGAGATAGCTTAAGGGGATGGGGAGATAGCTCAGTAGAATAAGCGCTTGCTTGGCAAGCACAGGGTCCTGAGTGTTCAATTCCCGGTACCTCAAAAAAAAAAAAAAAAAAAATAAAAAAATAAAAAAACCTTCCAATGTATACAGTAAAAAGGATTTGTGTACTGGGTAAAGATCAATGAACACATAAGAAACATGATTAAAACATATATATAAGTCAAGAGAAAGCACCAAAAATAGACAAGGTCAATGATTCTGGTTAAGGAAATAGCCAAAGAAAACAAAATAGTGGACTCTAGTAGGAAGTAGACTTAGAATAAATGAAATGACACCCTCCATATTTGAATGCACCCATCTACAGACCACAAGTTTTAACCCAATGTCCAGAAAATATATTGTGTGGTTATTTCTGGGGACAAATGTTATTATTTTCAACTATAAAAAATAAACTTGAAAAAGCTTCAGCCTAATGAAGAAGTCCTTGGTCCTGACCTAGACTTCAGCAAATGTGAAATATAGTGAGACAAACAAACAAACAAACAACAACAAAAAACCTCTGTGCAATTTCTATAGTAGTCACTTACTCAACATTAAAGAATTCAAAACTGAAAGACTGTTGCATGGTGACAATGACACATGGTAAATTTGGGAAAAACATCAAAAAAAAGCGGTAATGGTAATTCAAGGGGAAGACAAGGATAAGTCAATTAGAATTTCACCTAGGTACTCTTCACTACTGCCCAAGGCCCAGTTGTAAAGTTTGAGTGCTCCCAGGTTATTTATATTGTTATTATTGTTTCACCAAAACGTTTTTTGAAAATAAAATTTATTGGAAAATATTTAAGCAATAAATTAGCACATGGAAAGACACTAGACTTATGTCCATTTTAACATGGAAAAAATTACTGTTTGGGTACAGTAAGCAAAAGCAGCACAGTTGTGAATATAAGGTTTCCTGACACCTAGAAAGCAGCAGCCTGACTGCTTGCTGGACATCAGGAAGAGTGTAGGTTAGAATCTCAGAGAAAAGAACTCAGACACACAAGCTGGTAACTGCGAGGATTTGGCAAAGAAAATCAAGATGACATGCAAAGGAATACTATTCCCATAACTAAAGACTCAGGTATAGTTGAGTAGAACTCTTAACCATGTACCAAATAACTTAACAGACTGACAAAAGAAGCCTGACCTAATAACTTATTGAAGTTAGGGTAAATTTTTCATATTGCTTACATAGAAAAGATTTCTTTCCTGTGTGTCCTGTTAGGTTAGTTCATGTCACTTTACATATTCAAAACTCACTCCCTCTTACTTTTTTTAAAGTCTTTGATATTAATGTAACAATAATTTCCAATATTGCTTACATAGCACATTTATCCTTTATAATTAACATATTTATCAATACCAGTATATATTGACAGTTTTGCCTTATTGCTTACATATATAGGGTTTATCCCCAGTGAGTTCTTTCATATCTTTGACAAACACTGTGTGTGCTGAAAGCTATCTCATATTGTTTGCATAGATTGGGCTTCTCTGTAGTGTTTTTTATGGCTTTCAGAATTTCAGTATTTGCTAAGTTTTCCCACATTACATACATACATAAGATTTCTGCACTACATGAGTTCTTTCATGTATTCGACAATACCTTTGTGTTGTGAAACCTTTCCCACACTGCTTACATACATAGGGTTTCACTCTATTATGAGTTCTTTCATGTTTTCGACAACTACTCTGTGTGCTAAAAGCTTTCCCACACTGCTTACAAATGTAAGGTTTCTCTCCAGTGTGAGTTCTTTCATGAACTTGCCGATTACTATGTGTGCTAAAGGCCTTCCCACACTGCTTACATACATAGGGTTTCTCCCCAGTATGAATCCTTTCATGTATTCGACAATGACTGTGTGTGCCAAAAGCTTTCCCACAATGTTTACATTCATAAGGTTTTTCCCCAATGTGAGTTCTTTCATGTATTTGACAATGACTTTGTCTGCTGAAACTTTTCCCACATTGCTTACATACATAGGGTTTTTCCCCAGTGTGAGTTCTCTCGTGTATCTGACAAGCACTGAGTCTGCTGAATGCTTTTCCACATTGCTTACATATATAGGGTTTCTCCCCAGTGTGAGTTCGTTCATGTATTTGACAATTACCATGTCTGCTAAATGCTTTCCCACATTGCTTACATACATAGGGTTTCTCCCCAGTGTGTGTACTTTCATGTCTTTGACAATCACTGTGTGTCTTAAAAGCTTTCCCACATTGCTTACATACATAGGGTTTCTCCCCAGTGTGAGTTCTTTCATGTCTTTGACAATCACTATGTGTGCTAAAAGCTTTCCCACATTTCTTACACAGAAAGGGTTTCTCTCCAATATGAGTTCTTTCATGTATTTGACAATTACTGTGTCTGCTGAATGCTTTTCCACATTGCTTACACACATAAGGTTTCTCCCCAGTATGAATTCTTTCGTGTATTTGACAATTACTGCGTGTGCTGAAAGCTTTCCCACATTGCTTACACTCATAGGGTTTCACCCCAGTGTGAGTTCTTTCATGTCTTTGACAATCACTGTGTGTCCTGAAAGCTTTCCCACATTGCTTACATACAAAAGGTTTTTCCCCCCTGTGAGTTCTTTGATGATTACCAAATGAAGTGCTATTAGTGAAGGATTTCCCACAGTGTTTACATACATAGGGTTTTTTGCCAATATGAGCTCTTTCGTGTATCTGCATAAAATGATGAGAAGTAAAAACTTTCCCACATTCTGTACATATATAGGTATTCACTCCACTGTGACTTCTTTCCCAAATTTGTATATAGTTGGGTGTACTGAGTGTTTTCACATTTTGCTCATATACAAAAGGCTTCTCTTCTGTATTAGCTCCTTCAGTGCAACCAGAGTACAAACTTCCACATTGCTTATATTCACAGGTTTTCTCTTGAGGATTTACATCTGCAAGTTTCTGAAAGGACTGAAAGTCACTGTAGGTTTTTCCATGTTTGGTACAGTTAGAGAGCTTCTCTTCAAATTCCTGGTACTTATATGATTTGAATCCAGTGTTAGCTATGATGGGCATATTTGCTGATAAATGAGCAATCAGGGGCTTTCTAGAACCAATGCTTTCACCTGGTTTTGTACCAAATGATCTCAAGTTCATATTAGTATCTGTTGTCCAGAAAACCATTTCTCCATGTTGATACCATAATTCATATTCACAGCCTTTTTCCACTTCACTTCTATAAAGGAATAAAACAAGAAAACAACTAATTACATTTAAAGGTGTCTTTTGACTAATGGTTTACTGGGAGGAGATATAGTTTGATGTCTCCTAAGAATATGTGTTCATGAGTTTACTGTACACTCTAAATGATGGCTTAGAAACAGCTTTTACCAGAACAGTAATACTCTTTGTCATATTATAATTGACATGTTTGCAACATGTAACACTTTCTTTTGAGGGGAAAAAAAAAATATATATATATATATATAATATTTATATATATTAATATATATAAATATATATGTTATATATATTATATATATATTATATATATATATAGTATTTTGATGTATACCCTTTCTTCTATGACTGTACCCTCTCCCTCTTCTACTGAGCCTCTTCACCCACTCCAGAATGTCTGCCTCTTTTTTTTCTTTGGAAGAGCTAGAGATTGAACTCAAGCCCTTGCACTTACCAGGGAAGTGCTTATTCTACTGAGCCATCTGCCTGGCCCTGCCTTTCTTTTTTCTAACATATCTCCTCTATTGACTTAATTCCTATTTTTGGGTTTCTCATAATAAATGTAACAAATGATATTGAAATTTCTGTGTTTGAATTATGTAACAAATTATTGACTCAAGTTCATTTTCTTTTTGGCAATTGACAGTCCATTCCTTATGTCTATGAATGTTTTGAGTTATACAGATTTAACCTAGGCTTTCAGCACTGAGCTTCATACCTGGCCTTATTTATTTTGTGTTTTAAAATAGTCTCATCAATCATTAAGTTGCCCCAGTTGAGCATTTAGTATGATATTCTTGCCTCAGCTTCCCAGAGTGCTAGGAGTGCACACACGCACCATCATTCCCATGCTGTCACATGTTTCCTTAGTTAACTCATCAGTGAATGGGCATCTAGGCTGTTTCTTGGTTTTAGCTTTTGTAACGTGTACTGCCACAAACAAGAATATACACGCATTATTGTTATATAGTTATTTTAATTTTGAGGGGAATATGCCCAGTAAAACTATAGCTGGATAAAATGGCATATATATATATTATCTATATCATATATATATATGATATAGATAATATATTTCTATATATGTGATATAGATTATATATTAGGACTCTATATAATATATATATATATATGATATAGATAATATATTTCTATATATGTGATATAGATTATATATTAGGACTCTATATAATATATATATATATATGATATAGATAATATATTTCTATATATGTGATATAGATTATATATTAGGACTCTATATACATTTCCATAGATGTCACACTGCAGTGAAATTCCAATGAACATTATGGAATGGTACTAAAATGGTTCTAAAATTTTGTAACATGAATATATTGAATCCTTTGGAGGATTGCTTGAAAGCAATTATCAAAATAGTGGCATTCATTTGGATATTCAATATGTTCAAGATGACAGCAATTTTGAAAATACAAAATGTGCATGTAACATTTAAATACACACAGTATTCCTTACATTGATGTTTGACATGAATGTGGTCTTTTGTTTGATTTTGGTTTTTTTGAGTCTAGGCCTCAATGTACGTGGTTCAGACTGCCTTGATTTCACTATGTGGCAGAGGCTACCCTCAAAGTGATCCTCCTGCTTTAGACTTCCGATTGCTGGGATTATAGGTGTGCACCACCAAGCACCTGAAGTTAGGTTTGTGAAAATATATGTATGTATAATTTGGTTCTCAGTCGAAACACAAAAGTTGTCTTTTATACTCCTAAATGCAATTTCATATGGAAATTTTTATAATTTTAAGGATTGGAAATAATTTTATAATCTTTTACATTAGATAATGCCACTTGTGACATAATGTCAATACTGCCTACATTTCAGATATTGTAACATTTCAAATATTCAATTATCAAATTGTAGGCACTCAACACACATGCATCTTTGGAGAAATACTGTGAGATTAAAGAAATTGCAACACAGCCTCATTTGTATAATTTGCTTGGTTTTCATGGACTCATAAGGAATACTGCTTCTTGTGAGTGCAAATTACCTTATGTTTCTTCTCCAATTTTTGTACTTAATTTCTTCATCACCCCAGATTCTTTCTATAGTGTAGAAAAAGAAAAGTAATGACAAGCTAGTATATTACATTATAAACAAGCTAGTGATTACAGTTAGATTCATAGTAAATATGACCTTACCTAAAAGAATCATTGTTTCTACATTCCAATAAAGTACACTGCATTGATAAGCAATAACCAATGCTATCTGATAGCATAAATGCGAAATGGATGTTTTCCTTACCTAGAGCAGCTATATTCCTAAAAGTTTCACACATCACATCTCTGTAGAGCTCCTTTTGGTATGGATCCAGCAAAGCCCACTCCTCTAAGGTGAAATTTACAGCCACATCCTCAAAGGACACTGCTTCCTAGATCATTAGACATACATATTGAGAAAGAAGAGTGAGATTCACAACATGAAATATTTCAACTCTTACTTATAAAAACAGAAATGAGACTGAGTTCTCTAAATATTCACTTTATGTCTTCTTGGTCATCACACCTTTATTTTCTATCCATATACCTATCTCCTACAGGAATATGGATGTTAGATTATAATTCATTGCTAAAACAACAGCAGAATAGGAACACTGGTTCTGCCATTTAATCTCAGGTTTATTTGAACACTGCCTCTGAAGCATTTATACAGCCTACAAGATCAGCATATATTTTTAAAACAGGAATCAAGGTAGGAGAATATTGGATGAACTGCTCTCACAAATCATAGAATGTAGGTATATCTCACATTAATACCTATTGAATTGATCCTTTTCTTTGATTATATCAAGGCAGCATTTTGAAACTTGCACATAGGAGAGAAATGGCCGGATGGATATGATCAAAATACAAACTATGTATAGCAAACACCATTATTTAGCAAACTAAACTTGCTATAATAATAAAAGGAAAAGCAGGAGAAAAAAGTTTGGCACTGCCAAATCTCATCATTCATATGTCAAAGAAAGTTTTAATTATTCAATATTACACATGTTTAACAATGTTCAATACTGGTAAATAAGGTGACAAATACAGGAAAGATTCAAAACCCACTACTTTATGGCACGCTCTATTAGTGAGAGTGCCAACTGGATCACAGACAAGGAAGAGTCTTAAAGGGGCTCACATGGAAAAAAGATACTGATTCCTGTTTGAGCCTCTTTTATACAAAATGGCAGAAATCACCATTTGTTTATATAGGAGGCAGGAACAAACATGTACATACACTGAAACATGCACTTTATTCTTTTAAGTTTTTTTTAGTTCCTGTTTTGTGCAGGGTCTCACTATGCAGCTTGGACTCCTAGTGATCCTCCTGATTTCTGCCTGTCTAGTGCTGGGATTACAGGTGTGCACCACCCGTCAGGACTCTTTGTACTTTATTCTTCATGTGCAATAATTAAGTTACATCTTAAAATGGGAAAGTTAACTTGAATACTTTGAGAATTCACAAATATCTTTAGGGTGGGAAAAACATTACTTCCCAGAAGAAAATTATGGAGCCATCAGAGTTAGAGGGAGAAAGTGATACGTATGTCAATTATGAGAAGTAATACAACCAACAAGTAAAAAAAAAAAAAAAAAAAAAAATTGTCCTGTATACAATAAAAATGGTTTGTGTACCGGGTAAAAAATCAATAAACACATAAGAGAAATGAGTAAAGCATATGTAATTCAAGAGAAAACATCAAATATAAACAAGATCCATGAACCTGGTTGAGGGGATAGACAAAGACAGTGGAATTGTGGAAAGGCACAACTAGCATGTGAGTTAATGAAGAAATAAAAGAAGTATTAAATGATACAGCCCACAAACACCATATCCTCTAGTTTAGAGTACACCAAAATCTAGAGACTAGTAGTTTTAATCCAATGTACAGAAAATATACTGTGCTACTGTATCTGGAGACAAATGTATATCACATCTATAAAAAGTAAACTTGAAAAAGCTTCAACCAAGTGACCACAGCAATTGGCAAGAAGGCACTCAGTGACTCAGACAGAAGCACATGTGAAACACAGTGAGACAGAGAAACTACCTGTACTCTTTTTCTATATATTTACATATTGAACATTTCAAGGGGGCAAAACTAAAAGAATACTCATGGTAAACTTATTTAAAAAAATAGCAAAATAAATATGACAACAGTTATTCAGGGGAAGGCAAGGATAATTCTAATAGGCTTTCACATGGTAACTGTTAACCACAACCTACAACCCAGTTACAAAACTTTTTGAGTGTTCCTAGGAAATTTGCATTGTTATTACTGCTTAAAGTCACTAACAGCATTTCTGAGAATAAAATATATTGAAAAATATTTAAACACAATGATAGTGTGGAGAAAGAAACTTCATTTTTACAAGGTTGCTCACATTTTAACCTGGAAAAAAATAAGAGGTAATTTACAGACTGGGAATAGTAAAAACAGTGCAGTTGGAAAAAAGAAATTCCAGACACCCAACAGCAGTGCTCTCCACTAGAAGCATAGTTTAGAAAGTAAGAGAAATAAAGACAGCCGTGCAAGCTGATTGAATAGACATCCTACCTGTGATGGAAAATCCTATGCAATCCTTGAGAGAAGTATCTTTTATGTTTACATTTGTGAAGATATGACATGGAAAATCAAGAAAACATGCAAAGGAATATTATTCTTATACTGGAGGACTCGGGCAGATTACAGAGGGACTCTCAACCAAGTACCAAATATCTTGATAGAATGGAGAAATGAGGTTACTGAGGTTAACAGTGTATACACGGTAAGAATGCATTTTTTTACCCCCCCCCCCCCCGGAACCGGGGATTGAACTCAGGCTCTTGCGCTTGCCAGGCCAGCGCTTATTCTACTGAGCCATCTCCCCGGCCAAGAATGCACTTCTTCAGGCACAAGTTTAGGTTAACAAATTGCCTGTCAGGTCAAAGTTGTGAATGCCAAGGCTTTCGATCACAAGCAGAATCCATGCTGAGGGTCAAATAGTATCAATAAAAATCAAACAGTAAACACACTCATCCACTTTACATTTCACCTGGAAAGACAGAAGAATATTTTTTTTTTCAATAATTAAAAGCAACCTAACCTAAAATCAGCAACCCTTGAAGACTAAATGAAGAACCAGGAGACAGACGGAAGTGTAAATTACCCTGAAGAAACTCAGGAACAGAACAAAGATAAAAACATGTAGTGTTCTTATAAGCAAGAATAAGAGAACTTTGAGAAGCAAATACTCTGGCAGCTGGATCTTAGACAGCATCCAACTTTGTTGATTTTATTTCCACCAGCACTCTCTGGTTTGCAAAGTGATAATCAGAGAAAAATTCCTTCAGGATTCTGAGAGTGGGTGGGAAGAACAAAACCATTTTAAAAATTCTATTTTTTAAAATAAGTTCTAAATGGAGAAAAGCAGAATTTTTCCAAAATCTAATCCACTGTAATATTGGTATACTCATCCTTGGCAGTAAGAGAAGTACCTAATATCAACCTATCTTCCTCAACACTGAAAGAGGAGGATGTGATTTTTGACTTTTAGTCTTTTAGACTTATCAAGTGATCCCGCAACTGATCACCACTCCCTTCATCACCACCTACAACTCCCTCAAAGAATACAGAGAAAGGGAAATATATGGCTGACTAATGAAAAACAAAACTGAGGAAAGAGTATGTGGAAAAAGGTTAGTAAATTTTCCATATAAAGACCATTAGGCAACTGTCTAAAGCATGGAAATATGGATAGAGGCAAACAAAATGCAAAAGGATTGACAAAGGTTACTTGTATAAGGTAACATTGGCCAAGATTGAGACATTATTGAAGATATCAAACCAAAATTACGGAAGTGTAAAAATTCTTAAACTAAGTTTATTGACATAGATCCTTGGTGTATTTACCAAGAAACTATGTTAAAATGGATAATATCAACAATCTACTTTACTATTAGAGGTACTGGTATGTTCAGTGAGTCACACATACTGTACATTGGATGGGAAGCACTTGTGAATATGCTATGGTGCATGAATGACTCGGAAACGACAGTGTTGTTTTAATATGAGGTGAATAATTTGTGAGTAGAAATTTCTAACACTAGAAAATAAGGCCTGCTGGGTAGCATAATCACAATCAACAGAAATATCATATCTAGATATCATAATCAACAACAGAAAAAGGAATTATGCAAAATTCCCAATTAAACAAGGAGAGGAAACTAGAAAGGTTAAGTAATGTAACCAGAAGAACTAAACCAAATAAAACTAAAAAGGTATAACAATGTCCTCAATTTACCAGTTATTTGCAGAAAAAATTATAAGACAATGTGAGCATAGACAAGAAAACAAGCTCAACTTTAGTGCTGTTAAAAAAATTATATAAAAGTGATAAACATGCTTTAAACATTTAGAAGTTTATTTGAGAAAATAAGATCAGTACATTTACCACACAATGAAAACACTGAGGGAGAAATTAGGGAAACCATGTCTTTCACAATAACAGTCAAAAAATGAAACACTCAGGAATCAATCTCACAAAGGTAATAAAAGATTTATAGAGTGAAAATAACAGTAGTCTGAGAAAAGAGATTGAAGAGGATTTTAGAAAATGGGAAAATATGAGGGCCAGCCAAATAGCTCAGTGGATTAAAGCACCTGCAAGCAGGTGTAGAGGCCTGCTGTGCCAGCCCCGCCCCCAAGGTGTGCTGAGACAGCGATTGAGACTGGGTGTGGTGGCACATGACTGTAATCACAGCACTTGGGAGGCTGTAAACAGGAGAATCATTATGAGTCTGTTCCAATAGTGAGGCCCTGAACACCCTGTAGACCCTTCCCTAAAAAAAAAAAAAAAAAAAAAAAAAAAAAAAAAAAAAAAAAAAAAAAAAAAAAAAAAAAAAAAAAAAAAAAAAAAAGGAAAGAAAAGAAAATGAGAAGATATTCCTGGCTCCTGGATAGGAAGAACCAACATTGTGAAAATAGCCATATTCCCAAAATTGTTATACAGACTGAATGAAATCCTGACTAAAATATCACTAGCATACCTCACAGTCTAGAGAAAACATTTGTAAAATTCATCTGGAACCAGAAGAGACCCAGAATATCAAAAGCAATCCTGGGCAACAAAGGAAAGGCAAGAGGCATCACAATCCCTGACCTGAAATTATGCTAGAAAGCTGTTGTGATAAAATCAGCATGCTGTTGGGGGCGGGGAAGACCTGAGGATCAATGGAACAGCTTAAGAGATGCAGACACAATCACAAACACATTCGGCCACTTTATCTTTGACAAAGGGGCCAGACATGTGCACTGGAAAAAAGATGGCCTCTACAATAAAAGGTGCTGGTAAAACTGGCTTTCTATATGCCACAGGCTAAAAATTAGACCCTTGCCTATCA